ATATATATATAAAATTTAATCCAAATCCATTAAATCCAATTTTTTTTTTCCAAAATATTTATTTAGGACATATTTTCAACATACAGCATATGATAGTACATATGAAATCAAATCTTTTTTTCCTGGAACTGTTAATGGATACCCCTTAGTACTGATTCATTGTGTTTAATGTGGAGCTACAACAAACAATTCCATGTATTATAATTATAAACTAACCTGACGGTTATTTTTTTACTCAAACAATTAATTTTTTGTCTATAAAGTGACAGTAAACAGCAAAAAATGCCTGTTATAATTTCCCACAGTCCAAGCTGATGTTCTAATGTCTTGCTTTGTTAGAACAATCCAAAACCCAAACGTATTCAGTTTACTATCATGTATGACAAAGAAAAGCATAAAATCCTCCTATTACAGAAGCTAGAAACAACAAATATGTCATTTTGCTTAAAAAAATACTAAAATGTTTACTCAAATATCAACATAGTTGTTGATTATTTATTTATTATTTCTCTTGTATTCTAGATATTATTATAGTATTATAGAATTACTGCAACTGGATTTGATCAGGAACATCCAGATACCATGAAAACTGGGAGAACATATTTGCTATCATCATTTTGTTGTCTAGTTTTACATTTGAGGCAGGACTGTCTTTGTTCCAGCAGATGGCGATAGCGTATAAATAAAACCACTTTGGGTCTATGGTGAGAATATGTGAAAGGTATATTGTGGTAATGGTAACAGCAGCAATCCCTCAAAAATGATTACTTAGTAGCTGACAGGTAAAAACCTTCCTTATAAGAGAAATGCTTCATATTATGAAATTCTTGTGTGTAAGACAGACCCCTGCTTTGACCTTTTAAGTGCAAACAGCTCGTCTGACAGGAGTGAACTTTCTGCATATAGACTAATAGAACAGTGATGACTGTATCAGATCCAAATGGGGGAATGGGGGATGCATAGTAAAGTAATGCACCTCTTAGCTCTCCTGCAAATGTATATCAACACAATAAACTAGACCACATCTGTCTATATTGACTGAGATTAACCATTTTGTGGCATAAACCAGATCTTACTGGAAATGTCTACAAAACTGTCACAAAAACAACATTTCTGAAGTCAGTTTGAGACGTTCTAAATCTAGTCTTTTTTGTTAATACAATTACAGTCTTTCACAGCCCTACTGATGTACAAAACAAGGTTATACAGTACCGTATGTATTTGCAGTCCCTTGTCCCACTCATTGCTCATCCTAACAAATTATAGTACATTAATAAAAAATAATAATATTAATAAACAACAATAATAACATACAAGAAAATCTTAAGCCTTTTAAGATTTAAATTATTACAATATATCCTGCTCTGAATAAACTGAGATGCGACTTGTGAAAAAGCTGCCACAAATCAACATCAGAAATATGTCCAATAGTTTCAGTGCATCATTTCACAATCCTGCAGGAAGTCAAACCCATACACATCTCTACTTCATGACAAAATCCGTCACTATGACCGACTGTCCATAATCTGCAGCTTAAACTGAACAAACTAAACCATCCATCATGTTATATCCAGTAAAACAGCAACAGTCACCACAACAAAATGTGACCAACACGTCAGACAGGTTTGTTAACAAAAGCTAATAGATCAACACCATGTTCAACACCATGTTCAACACCATGTTCAACACCATGTTCAACAGTGCCAAAATAGACCAGGTCGTTTCTTGTGTGGAACTCTAAACACTGTCATTTTAGTTCTTATATTTTAGGCTAAAAGAATTGGACACTGTATGTGTAAAAAGAGTGTGTTAAAACACAATACAAATTACAATAAAGGAGGCGTTTGCTTAATGCCATAAACATAAAGTTCATAGCTAGTGATAAGATATTACATGGGAAGCTGGACACTGGCGAGATGGAAATTTTAAATTTTTATTTGCTTATATATTTCTGGGACAATGCAAACTGATCAACATCAATGTAAATGTGCCATTGTTAGTCCACTAAAAGGCTAGTTTTCAAGGCTGCCACTCGGCCGGGTTAGCCAATTAGCAAAATGACAAACAAATTAAGGAGAAACTTATTTCTTATTATTTCTGAAAACACAACGCACCTCATGTTGAAGACTGCTCATTAGGCGAAACTTTCAACAGTAGGCCAAGTTCGTGACTGCACTCAAATTGGCGTTATTTACTGTTAATTACAGCCCCGCCTTGCTTATGCTGTAGCAACAAAACTAGCGAGTTAAGCTAAGCATTAACTTCAGTCACGCAGCGTCCTTTGTCACACAGGTGGGACATTATTTTTTTCAATCTTTTAGCCATTTTCCAGCAGCGAGTTAACATTAAATCTTAAAATGTTTGTTCGTGATGTCATAGATCTCTAGCAATCATCTGCAGTCACAGGTGGGACTAATGCTAACTAGCCAAGCATGTTCTTGAAGATAAAAGCAATTCAACCTTTCAGAAACCTTCTGGTCGTTTGACAACACTTACCGCAGTTTGATGACATTTCCGGATTACTGAAAGGCTCCTTGATCCAGCTGGAATATGAATATCATGTTAGCTTTACAATAAAGTTTTTGAACTTATTCACCAGCTGCAACTTGTTTAAGACGAAACAACGACGGTAGCCGGAAGTGACATGTTTTGTAGTCCTTCAACAAGCATAAGGAGAAAGTCGTATCCGGCGACCATGTTTTTTTTGCTTAACTGATAACCGCTGATAAGGGAACACAATGGTCTAAACTAACCATTCATGTTTGTGTTCTTGCAGTACCATTTAGTCACTGAACTACTGCAAAATAAAACTTTTTTTTTAATTTGAGTAAAAGTTTTCACCCTAAAGTGTGTGGCTGTTAATAGAATCCAGAAGACACATGATCAAACATGACCATTTTCAGCCATTTATACTACTGGCTTTTTTCCATTAAACAGGATGCTAATTACTCTTAAAGGAGTTTTAAATCAAAACGCAACTGGACTTGATTATTTGTCTGACAAATTTGTCTGACAAATAATCAAGTCCAGTTGCGTTTTGATTTAAAACTCTTTAGGATACCATGCGCTGACAAATGAGAATATGCACAGGCTGATGCTAATTACTAATTTCTCAAATTATGAACTCTGCCCTGCATGTGCTACTGAACAATTCTGCGTTCAACTACATGTGGTATTAACACATTCACAATATGGTATTAAAGTGAAATACACAATCAATTTATTTTTCTAAAAAGGTAGAATTTGATCTTGATATTCTTATGCATATCTCATATCTCTTTGATGAAAATGGAACTAAAATAATCGAGAGAGCACAGAACCCTTCTGATTTACAGAAAATGTACATTGTCCTTACTCTAAGTGAAAGATCTGTGCATCCTTTAACAGTTTCTGCACAAATGTAGTTTGTCTCAATGATTAACCCTTATTGCATAATTGCACCTCTAGGCGGAGGCCGGGTATCTTGGATAAGAACACTTTTAAATACAGGTCTAGCAGCAATTGTAGAATGGTTTATTGGTTAAGCCCATTAGCTTGCTTACTCCAGTCATATATGCTGTTCATACCTGCAACCAGCCAACTTTATCCAGCACTGACACACATTCACTTTAAGTGGAAACCCTGATATGCTTCAGAGTAGCAGGTATGCAACTAAACTGTTTGTAATTACTGCTACATAAGATCCACTGAATAAAGTTCGAAATGCATGCAAGCATATGGTCTACTGATGTTAACAGCTGACCAGATATACTAGATATCTAGAACTGATAATCACCTTCTGGTCTTTCTAAGAATCGCTGCTTGTAAATCTGCCAGGTATCCCACAAAATGGCTTTTCAGGTTCAGCACCAAAAAATGGACTGTGTAATGCCACGTTGTCACCGCTGAGAAAAAAATGAACACCACAGGCACGTTACATTTTAGCACTCTTTGTTCATACGTTACGTTTTTCAGCAACAATTGTTTTTGACATTGATACAGTGCAAATGCACAATAGCACAACAGACACCATTAAGGATACATACTATTTTTTGAAGTCAATACGGCAGATTTTGACAATTTGCATGTTTATTTTTTTTCTTTTGCTAAACATAAAGATGTTTGTCCTCCATTAAGCTGTCAATGTCCAACAGACTTTTTTTCTTCACTGGTAGGGACCCTTTAACACAGACAAGCGTTTGGAAATCAATGGCAAGTCATTTTCCAAGTGTGGTCGGCAACTTCTGCAAGGTCATGACAAATGGTGAAGCAGGGCACTGTCAGCATCTGTTTCCCATCATGCCCAGGAGCAGTGTGATCATCTGAGGCAGTCAGTCCAATCAGTTTCATTCATACTTTTTTCAACTATGCGGCCATACTGGATGAATTTCAGCCATACTGTAAACCGGTGCTGATGTTAAACATGTCTACTTTGTCTTGATATGCATATTATATTAAGAAAGAGATAACCTAAGACCTGAGAAAAATATCGCATTTTGCAATGTAAGACACAGAAGATACAGTGCCGTTCACCCCATCAGTTCACATCAACCACCAACACACATGAGCTTCAAGCACTCACCAGTGTCTCAAACTTTTTCTTTGACAGATCAAAACAAAACAACAAACACTGACGACAGACAGACAAAAACATACTCAGATGGCTCAAGTTAACACTGACTCCATCCATCTTCATATGTACTGATTAATTTATTTTTTTTAATATCACTTAAACATATGCTCATGGCAGATGTAATTTTTTAATCTGGTGATTTTGTCTTTTTGTTATCTTTTAGGTTTTAAGAACTATTCATGGTGAATTCAAAAAAGGGGTTTTTAAACTTCAGGTGGACAACTCGTGATGGCTTCTGATCATGGCGGCGCTGCTTCCTCAGCATCCCTCAACGGAGACGTCACCTCCAGTGAGGCTTTTTAGATCTGCACATTAGTAGTAATGCTCAAGCACAAACACCAGCCATCTTCTTGACCCTCCCACCCCCACCCCACACCCACTCCCCCGGCCTCCATGCCACCTCTCCATCATCCAAACCCATTCATCCCCCTCACTCTCTCTCTCCCTCTCAAGTCACTGGTCCCTGCTCACCATTTCCAACTCCCTTTTTCTTCATTATCTCCCTTCTTCCCATACTTATGGCATTTTCTTACTCGCTCTTCTTTGTGATAGCCATAGCCGATTTGGACTTTCCAATGTAGGCCTCGAAGAAGAACTGGACAAAGAGCACAAAGTAGCTGAGATACATGAGTGAGGACCACACAATGTTCTGCATGTGGGATGGACACTCCTGGCCCTGCTGCATCCACGAGTACACCAGGTAGTTGACCACACAGCCCATCAGCATCTGGGTGATCTGGGTCAGTGTAATGAACATGGCAAACTTGCGCGACAGCTTGAAGCCGGCTGCCCGCAAGGCGTAGTAAGAGTACATGACGGCATGGACTAAGTAGTTCATAGTCATGAACCATCCGCCGCCGGCCACCATGTCTTTGTAGGAGTACCAGGAGTAGAGCAGCACGGTGATGTGGTGGTACCAGTGGAGGAAGATGAGCTTCTGTTTCCTCAGGACAATGAAGAGAGTGTCACCTACAGGTATGGTATGAGTTGTACAAGAGATGGGTGAAGTTTGTGAAGAGCATGAGGAGGAGGGGAATAAAGACAAGGGGGTGAATGAAGGGGCAGAAACAGGAGGAAAAGAGAATATCATTACCACTGGCCCATTCAAAATGACTGGCTATGATTCAAGCTGCTCTCAAATATGCAGAAAATGTTGGCTAAATGAACTATGTTAAACCACAAAGATGTTGGCACAGAGTAGGACTGAAATGTTTCAAACAACTGAATAGGCTGCCCTTTAAATAATACACAGTAACACAAGTGACAGCAAAAGCTGTATTCATAGCATCTAATACAGATTTTAACATAAGGCTGCTACAGAAGAAAATGTGAAAAGGTGAAGGGATCTCAACACTTTCTGAAAGCACTGTATAGTGCAGGGGGAACAGTTGGCCTGTCTATTAGCAATATTACACCTTGGCACAGAGTGATATTGTAAACCTGAATATATGTATTTCTGCCAAATGTGTATGAGTTTAATTTAAAATGACTGTACGTTTGTGATCCTGAGCCTTGTGGCTAAACAGTGACTGTCCATTCTTCCAGCATTCACAATCTAGTTCACGCTGGTTTGGACAACAACCAGATAGAGAGAACAGAGGCAGTGAGCGTCTGCCACCTTTCATTCCCACTGAGGGGAACAACTGCTCTTGGTTTAAGCCTGGAGTTCATGGCACTTTAAGGCCCAGAGGGACACAGATGGGCTAAAAAAGCAACCACACAGGCAGAAAAGGATCCTAAGAAATATAAAGCATAACCCTAAATAAGGTCACATTTTATGAGAAGGATGGACAAATAAAAGGTTCTTCAGATGTATTTCAGTGAGAACGTTTATAAAAAAAAAAAAAAACTAATGTAGAAGCATATGAAATCAAATATTGATAATTTATTGGAATTCATTTAGAAATGCTAATATTTAATATTATTAGCATTTGATTAAGGAAGGAAAGTAAGTCTAATATATTGCAGCTACTAAAATGAGTGTAGTCAGACACTGCAACATTTGATTGCATTGCAACTGGAAACACAACAGTTGCTATGAACTGATAAATGAGTAATAGTAATTTTTCATGAATATGGTATTGTTATTTGGTAGTGTTAAATGTTGTCTTTAACTTCAGTGAAACACAGGTGAACTACGAAAAAATGTTTCTGGTGAGCAGTTTATTCACTTGGGCAGGGTGTTTTATGGAAAACATTACAGTACACTGGTATTATAATACATGGCAATATGAGATATGCTATAAGAAGGTTTTGACTTACCCAATTCTGGTGCTTTACTAAGTACAAAGGCATATGCCCAGAACTTGCTGACAGGCCCGTTGTAAAAGCTCTGGTCACAAACTGACTGTTTAAGCCCTTTTGTCATCAAGATGTACATCATGTAACTCCCAGTACGGATGGCACCAAATATACTACATGGACAGAGAGACAATACAGACACAGCTGATTATTATGGTGGGAAATATGTGGCTACCACACATGAGCAGGTTGTAAGTATATGGTATGTTTACATACAGCAGTCTTAGTCACTTACTATACACTGTCCATATGCACTATACTGCATGTGAAGTCTACGCCTTGTGTGTGTCGTATCAGCTGCAGATTTTTTTAATGTGTTGAAATATGCAGCATTTTTAACATATTTTTTTCCAGCCTGAATTAAATTGTATTTGCAGATTGTTTAAAATCAACTGTGACTCAGTTTCCCTCTGGATAATGAAATCAATCTGATTACACAAACTGGATTCTACACATCTCCCAAGAGATGACTCACAAAATATGTACTTGCTGTGTAAATAAGTTTCATGGCTCCATAACAAAATATAGCTGCTTCCCCCTGTTGGTGGTAGTGTGTAATGTGACCAGCATGTGTCACTAACAGACACTCTGCAGCTAAAGCCACATTCAAACACAGTTTAATTATATGTATGGACAGTTATTTTCACATCAAAATAATTTGGGTTACTCTACATGACAGAAAATTCATTTTTACTGCGCATACATAAAGTATGTATAATAACTCTTTCTCACCTGAATACAGCAAGCGTGAGGGACCATAGCACCAGCGGTTTCCTCAACTCAAACTTCTCCCTCTGCTTCATGACATGGCGGCCCCCGAGGATACAGGCAGCGTAGAGTGCAGAGAAGAGAAAAGACTTCTTCCTGTAAACACAAAAAGTAAAGAGATTAACATTAACCTTTCTTTGACTTTTAACTGTCTATGCATAACTGGGTTAATGCACTCATTATGTCACGTCTTTTTCAGCAACAACCTGCTTAATATTCAGACTGTCACATACAGAAAACACTGGGCAGCTTAGCTGCTGCTTAATATCAAGTCCCAGAGCATCCTGACATGAGCAACAAACATCTATTGATCAGTTAGAAATCCATCCTAAAACTACAAGCAGCTATTTACCATGGACACCACAAAACTACACAATTTATGCTCATGTCAAACTGATGACATCTAAAAGTTTAAGTGTATCGTAAGAGGGTTTTTTCCTTTACATCTTCGCTGTAAAGTATTTTGACAGTATTTAGTTGAGGAGCCATTACTGTTACTCGTGTACAGTACTGTAAGAAGTCCTTTTAAACCCAAAATTTTTAATTTTAAAAGACAGTTATACAACATTAAGTCTGCATCTGTACCTGTTCCTCTTCCAGCAGCACCACTATAAGTGCAACATACTGATTACAACACAAACCCGAGTTGTACCGAGTTTAAGCAACGCCTGAAGTAATGATTTAATGATTTAAATCTAACTCCAACTGTCGCTAAATGCTTAGCTTTCAGTTTACAGTTATTGCTTCTATTCAGCTCCAACTCCCACCATGCTGTTTGCCTTAATTGACTTGTCAGAGATCACTGCTGTGCCACATGAAGTGGAGGACTTGTGATGAAGCATCACCTGGCCCAACTGAATCTGAATAAAAGCATTTTCTAGCACTCAGCACAATTACAAAGCACAGGTGGTCTGATGCGACAGACTAGATGCTGAGTAGGACCGACAGAAGATGGGGGCATGCTGCCTAAAACTAGAACAAACACTGTTTGGTCTACTGGACAGAGAGCAGAGCAGCTGTTTGGAGCAGCATTAGCCAAAAAAGTTAGGGAAAATAAACCAATGATTATAAGGTAGCAACTGCTAATGAGTAAGGCATTAGACCTGCAGTAAGGTTGCTCAGTGGTCAGAGGTAGATATGTGTGTAAAAGTACAGTGGTGCCTGAAAAAGAGGCAAGTACAATAACACCCTTGGAAAAAATAAATAAATAAATCGGGTATGCTCTCAGAGGACATTGCAAAGGGACCAAGGAATGAGGCATTCTGGGAGCTCTGGGACCAATAGCACTGGCGATAATGAGCTGCGTAAAACTAGCTCAAGGAGTGATGCTACACATCAGTGATGTTTTTGTTCTGCTTCACCTGCAGCTTCTCATTTTAGCAGGCTCCGAGCATTGCTTTCAGAGGGGTCATGACATCATGATGACTGTCAACCATCAGGAATCAGCCCAACCCTAACCCAAGTATATTATTCTATTCAAAGCCTTACTGTAATGTGTAGTGCTGTATTATACAAGAGAGAAGTTATATCTCTGGTTATGATCATCTAGTCTGTGTTTGTACCATACAATGCAGACTAGCACAAAGGTCAAATGGTTTGCATATTACTTCCAATACAAATGCAAACATTTCTCACAGAACCATGACATATGCAAACTGTAAACAGCAATCCATCCTGTTCTGTTTTGCAGCCTCAGCAGAGCACAGCAACAACAGCACTTAGTTTTGCTGAGCAGGTGTGTAGCTGGGCAAGAAAGAGAAAAAGTGTTCAATTCACTTAGCCACTAAAAAAAGGAAAAGTGGCTGTATGATATATTACACATAAAAAGAAAACGTTTACTCAACCTGATTATAAGCGAGTCAGTCATGTTAAGCAGTTATATCTCAACTAGTACAAACAGATTAAAAAAGGTCAACATTTGCCTGATGCCAAAGCTGCAGATTGGCTTGGGGCTTCCCTATTTCTCACCTGTTTTCCCAATACATTTCAAATATAACCAACTCTATAAGAAATACTACCACCATTACACAATATATCGACTCTTTGTTTGTCTCCACCTTCCCACACTAAGAAGAAAATGTTGCCAGGAATGTGAATCTTAAAATATTTCTATCATAACAGTTACCAAGCGGACAAAGATAACTGTCAATTGTTTAAAAGAATGGACATCATTGTGTGTCAGCGTTCCGAGGATGAAGGATGCCACCTCTCTGTTGTTGCAGGAGGCCCAGAAACTGATTTAGGCCACCTCCAGTGAACAAAGGACAAAGCAGTCCAGTCAAAGTCAAAAGGAGCAGCTTTCACAGAATGACAACAGGGCTGGACTGCAGAATGACATCACTGTTTCTCAACTACACACCAACGAGGGGAGAACAGAGCAACACAATACACAGTGGCCTACATACTGTAGTGAGGCCGGGAGGATTGCGAAGGAGAAACAATCTCAGCATTCCCCTTCAGCGTACTGCCATCCAACCTAAAAGATCACAGGTCAGAGTGATATGTGACCTTGGCAGTGTGCAGTATATTTTACACCTAATGATATCCTACACAGGTAGCAGTAGAGACCATGTATAATTCAATCACATTAAGACTTGCCACTAACATTTTTTATAATCGATTAACCATTTAAATTGAGACCATACAACTTTGGAAAGAAGATATAACATATTCTTCCATTTGCAAATGAAAACAACACAAACTTGCTCAACTCAATATACTCAGCAGTTTTGCTGCGACATCCTTGCTTGGTCTGGTATGACCAGTAGCTTAAAGGGAGCTATGGTTAGCAAACTTTATAGACTGTATAAAATAAATTATTGTGTAACTGTTACAATGCATTTTGGCATTTACCATTATCCTGAAATTGTCACTTGTAGCCACCAAAAATTTAACCTAAAGTTGGTCCTTTAAGTAATTTATTAAGTAAAAGTCCAAACATGTGGTGGTCACAGCTCAAAGAGACTCAAATATTTGCTTGCTGTGCTACATTTCTCATCAATTTACATCAAATACCTAGGACTGTTGTTTAGATAAAAGCCTTACTGCTAAATTCTTAAGTATTATGTTACCCTGTACTTAAAGAATTAGAGATATACTATACACATTGTAATTCGCTACCACTGATTCACCTTAAGCCCAAGCACTCATAACCTCAACCACCTTTTTGAACATTACCTAAAAAGAGATCATTTACATTTCAGGCCCTGTGAACTGAGTGACCAAAACTATTACACTTGTATTCTCATTATGTCTTTGCACTTAGATTCTTATCTTTGTAATTCGTATCTGTGTACAAAAGTATGACAGAAATCTGTGTGAACACTGACCAGCTATAATGCAATTCAGTATAACAAGTCTGAACTGGTTTGACAGGTAACTTAGCCGACTAACTCAAGGCAAAGATAACTGACTGAAAACTATCCAAAAGATTAAAGAATCCAAAAGAATGTTATAATCTATCTCATACACAAAGGTATAGAGGAATATTTCCATGTCATTCTCTGTGTTTTGTCATTATCATTATGTGCATTAGACTTAGCCAAAGGTTAAGATGTGTTGCCTGCTGCAATATGTTTAGAAGATAGATTCCACTGCTGTCAGAAAAAAAAAATGATAAAGGGTAAAGAAACCCAAGGGCATGGTCAAAGCTGACAAGTTGGTGTGGAGGTGATGGGGGAGGGGGAGGTGCTGCTGTTGTCTTTGCGAAGGCTCTGAGTTGCCAGCTGCAGCCAAGCTATGTCTGCAGTCACAGGAATGTATTTGAGACATCAGTGTGAATTCACATCATCATTTCATGCTTCCCTGTGTCTCTACAGCTCCACCCATGATCATCAGTATTCAGATTCATCCAAGAAATAATGCAGGATTCAGAGAATAAAACAGGGTTTTCTGCTCCTTGAAACACGCCAAAATGCCATCATACATCATGGTGATACATTCTTTTAATCATGTAAGGGCCAAAACAAGTACTATCACTGCAGGGAAAGACAAAATGACCCAGACATTGTTGATCATCACAAGCACTCTGGACCGACTTGAGGATCAAGACACTGACACTAGTCTATTGTGCATAGTCACCAAGAAATGCACATACTACCTCTTTGGATCCTTGCTGATATTACAGAAGGTATCTTATCAATCCATTTTGTGAAAATTGAGACTTTATATGGATGATTTAGAAGGATATGTCTACCATCATTGGTGTTTCATCCTCTTCTGGTGCAGGGACTAAGAGGATCATTTACCTCCATTATCATTTACCACTTACGAAGTCAGAAACTTTGGCCTGGAAACATCAGAAAGGAACACCTTATGAAATTTTGTACAAATAAAAAGAATCGTGGAAAAACAAAAGGACAAAGACAAGCATTGCACCTAGCACCCCTGATCCTGACTTATGTCTACACAGGACAATACATTAGAGGGGTGTGGCAAGAGGCTTGACTCTGCTGTTTGTCAAAGTGGACCGAGGCAGCACAAATGAAAAACTACAACATCAGAGCTCTTTTGGAAAGGATCAGCAGAGATTTCTTGCTTTCTGCATGGTTGGAAACCAACTGCTTCCCTCCTGCTGAGATTTCCTCCAACACAACAGTAAGCAGCAATGGCTTCATTTTAAAAAATGATAGGTGTCTCAGATCCACTACATATTATACATGTTCAAAGTGTTTATATTATTTTTTTATGCCCACAAAGCTTGGTATACTTAAATAAACAAAAATGTTACACTTGTTTGTTACAGAAAAATAATAAATTATAAATAACTTATATGCTCTGTGTGTTGCTGTGTTGATATTCCTTATTTTGTTGTAACATAAACTGAGTCCAATATTAGTTTACATGAAAACCACCAGCTTAAGACATCATGTTGGTGTGTACAACAAGGATAATATGCAGGAGCTGCTGGGTTAGGTAGGTTAGGCATCTCTGGCATCTCTTTCTCTCATGTGTGATTATTATCACAGGGCGAGATGCTGGGCATTGGCCCAGTTTGCACTGCTGCCAAATCATGCTGAATATCTGGGATATAAAAAAAAAACAAAAAAAAAAACAACTCATATTATATACTCATATTCGACAGAGTTAAGAACATA